TGCACCCAGCGGGGCTCAGGCTGCTCCCACCCCTGGGAGAAGGGCAGGAGAGAGGGAGGAGAGTGCCAGGCTCTGGGTAACAACCAGCTCTCCCTCGGAAGTACCGCACTCACCCGCACTCACCGCTGGGAGAACATTGATCTATGCGTGGGGATCCCACTGCCTCCCACTGGGCCTCACCTCCAACACGGGGATCCAACTTCAGCGGGAGGTTTAGAGGAGACGAATGCCCAAACCACAGCAATGACATGTGCGAGTCACGTGGTATTTCTGCCGAGCAGCACTGGTTTGTTCCTTACTCTGGAGACAAGGCGAAAACCTGTTCTGCCAGAGCCAGCATTAGTTTCATTTGAAACCATGTTTCCTTCCCTCTTTCTGGTACTAGCTTTCAGTTCCTGAAAGGAATCTTACTTCTTTACTTCAAGGCCTGCTGTTTCCCCTGCTTCAGACACTCCCTCCCACTCAGCCCGTGCCCGGCTGACTCCCGGCCCTGCTCCAGATCTCAGCCCGAGCTGAGCTGCTTCCTCCTCGGGAAGGCGGGTCTCAGCCAGGGACACATGCCAGCTCCGCCACCATGCCCGGGGGAGGGGAGGGACTGGAGCAGTGAAGGGAACAGAGGAACAAGGCGCATCAAGGGAAGAGACGGAGCAGGGGTGAATGCTCAGAGGCAGAGGAGGGCTTGAAGGAGCGAAGAGGATCATGGCGGCTTTGGCAGAGACCTGTCGGCTGGTAATGGAATCTCGCTCTGCTTGTTTGGTCTGTCTCAAAGTAGATAGGGAACGTGGGAAGGGTGCCCAATTTGCTTTGGTACTTGTCACATTTTGCAATAATGTTCTCAGATTTAAAACACCGGTCAATGCTGACAAGAGATCCCAAGTTGTTGGGGTTTAGTGAAAGAGCAAGTAAACGTAATCCCGGTAGGTATCTTAGGGACAATTTGTGTGAAGATTATGACTCAAAATGTCTTGATAGTTGTAGAAATGTTACTTTCTTTATCCTTCCTCAAGAAGTTGAGAAGAATCATCAAATATAAGCTTTGGAGGTCTTGTCTAATGAGCAAACCAAGAATATCCTACGTAAAAATATTCCGCAGAAGATGCCCCACGACAGTGGGTTGCTTCTGGTGAGGGTTAGTGGCCTTTGAGAGCAGGAACGGCAGGAAAGCAGAGTTTTCATTATGTTGTACCTTTGTAAATTGTAAAAAACGTACTAAACACACGTATTACCTAGTCTTACTCCTTTAAATAATTTCTTTAAAATAAAAAGCGAGAATTTTTTTTTAAAGACCTATTAACTTTTAGGTGAGGATGGGACATCCAATAAAAATACAGGGCTTTAAAAGTGGAAATGAAGCCGCGGGTCGGGGGTGGTGTGCGCCCGTAGTCCCCGCTGCTTAACCACTTTGGGACCAGCGTGGACTGTAGCCGACAGCCACAGATGGACGCGCACAGTGACTTTAGCCAACAGCCGCGATATGACTTTTCTAATTTTTCATTTATCAAAATAAAATGGTGAACAGTTAAAAATAACATAATGAAAACATACATGTCTATGTCACCTGTTCTGATTTACATGACAAGGAAAGCTGCCTGTCAAGTGAAACGAGCTCTCAGCGCTTTCGAGCTTTCCTCATCACGCAAGAGCAAGACGGACGCGTGGTCAACGCGCAGTGCAGACCGCCGTGCGGACCGGGAGCGCCGGCTGTGAGCGAGGTGTCGCGGCCGGCAAGTGCGGTCCCCAAGTGGTTAAGAGGCTGAGGCAGGGAGATCGCTGGAGCCCAGGAGTCCAAGGCTACAGCGGGCTATGATCACACCTCTGCACTGCAGCCTGGGGAGCAGAGACCGGAACCGCATACAACAGGAAGACATCCAGCCAGGCGCAGACGGACGCGGGCCGGTGCAGCCGGCTGGGCAGAAACCTTAATCCATGATGCCATTTCTCCCCCGTCACTAGCAAGCCACATGGAAAGAAAAAGAGGACTGTTAATCACATTCCGGGTCCCCCGTGGGACAGTGTCACTGGCTTTTAGTAACCATCCTTCTTAGCCGAAATGTGCACAGTGAATAATCGAAAGCAAGAGTCTCACGTGGTCTTCAGCCCTCACCTGCCCCACGGTGGCCGGGGAGGAAGTTTCTTCCTGGAATTCTTGGAACAGTGCTCAGATGTGCCCCCCCACATCTCTTTCGCCTTTGTGTACTTTCACTATTAAGAAAGTATCTAGGCCGGTGCGTGGCCGTGACGCCTGTCATCCCAGCACTCTGGGGCCGAGCGGGCAGATCGCTCGAGTCAGGAGTTCAAAACCAGCCTGAACAAGGATCGGAGACCCCGTGCTCTGTTACAAAAATAGAAAGAAATTAATCGACCAACTAAAAAAGATATATACAAAAACTTAGCCGGGCATGGTGGCGCATGCCTGTAGTCCCCAGCTACTCGGAGGCTGGAGCGGAGGAGGATTGCTTAAGCCCAGGAGGTTTGAGGTTGGCTTGTGAGCCAGGCTGACGCCACAGCACTCTAGCCTGGGCAAGTAAAGTGAGACTCTGTCTCAAAAAAAAAAAAAAGAAAAGAAAGAAAGAATTCCTAAAATTATGTTATTATAGTATATTTGTTTTTTATGCTTTTGAAACTTGTATAAAAAGAATTAAAATGTATGTTTCTTCCTGCAACTTACCTATTTCACTAAGGATCATCCAGATTGGTTGCATAGATGTAGTACGTTTCATTGCTAAGTAGCATCTTTTTGTATACATAGACTGCAGTTTATTCATTCTCCTGCTTATTTCTGTTTGTTTTGGGTTTTTGTTGGTCTCGCTATTAAAAGCAGAGCCACTGCTGATGGTGTACCTGTGTAAGCATTTCTCTAGGACAGATGTTAAGGAGCTGAAGTGGTCAGTGGAACGTAGGTACACGTTTCCTTTTACTAGCTAACACCCAGTCGTTATCCCAGTGTCTGTAAGTGTTTCATCGTGATTTTAATTTACATTTCCCTGATTCTGGGTAGTAACCTGTTTCCTCATCTGTGTTGATGTGGTGTACCACCCATGTAGCTAGAGGCTACAGGCCGAGCCACCATGCCCCAGCTATTTTTTTTTTTTCCTAGTTTTGGTTGGTTTGGCTAATTTTTTTTTTTTTTAGTAGAGACATGGGTCTCGCCTCGATCAGGTTGGTCTCGAACCCCCTGACTCAACGCATCCCTCCCGACCTTGGCCTCCCAGAGTGCTAGGGGATTATAGGCCCTGAGCCACCACCCGCCTAGCCTCACCTTATTGCTTTTCAAACGTATTTTTTTTTCCTACTCTGGCTTAGGACGCTCAACACAATAATGAGTGGAAGTGCTGACCCTTGTTTAGTTTCACATTGAAAAACGCTGTTTAATATTCTCACCCCGGATTAAGTACAACGTACACTAGCTTCCAGTGGGTTCCATCGAGTCAGTTACAGAACATTCCTCCTAGTTCCCTAATCAGCTGAAGTTTCCTGTTTCTGCTTATTTTAAATCATGAACAAAATTTGTTAATCATAAAAATCTCTGTCCAAGCGAATTATTTTACACTGTGTTTGAAACGTTATTTGCTTTTCCTACTCCAGCGTGTTTAACGGTCCGTAAGATCATAACAGTGATTGCTAGTTATTACTTTGGCTTCAGCACAGCCAGCTGAGCTCCGCAGCAGTTTTGGGTGGATCACAAGCCAGCACGTGGGAAAACCCGAAAGTAAGCGGCGCCAGAAAAAAGCCCGCAGCACCAGCTTTCTGTCACATCTGAGCAGAGACAGCGTGACACCACCGAGGGGTATGTGGAAGCCTCGAGCCTGGAGGAGGACAAGTCACCTGGACCAGTGGGGCAAACCTGAGAGCAGGAAGAGAGAAAGGACTGGAGAAGACCTGTGGCAGCAGAAAAGGAAAACGGACCATGTGAGAGTTGTTATATATAATAGTAATATTTTTTGTTGTTGTTGTTTTTGAGACAGAATCTCACTCTGTCACCCTGGCTACAGTGCCATGGCGTCAGCCTAGCTCACAGCAACCTCAGACTCCTGGGCTCAAGCAATCCTCCTGCCTCAGCCTCCCGAGTAGCTGGGACTACAGGCATGCGCCACCATGCCCGGCTGATTTTTTTCTATTTTTAGTAGAGGCGGTGTCCTTGCTCTTGCTCAGGCTGGTCTGTAACTCCTGAGCTCAAGCGATCCTCCCTCCTCGGCCTCCCAGAGTGCTGGGATTACAGGCGTGAGCCGCCGCGCCCGGCCTGGAGGTTTATTATTCAGCCTTTATGTTAAGGATGTTTTCTCCCTCTCAGAAACAAAGAGACAGGGACAGGAATCTGGGCGTGGCAAACATACACCAGGTCACAAAATTCACGGAGGCCCCGTTATGGGAAGAAGAGAGGGCAGCCTTCAAAAGCTGATGAAAAGAAGTCTAGTACAAGTAAGAGGACACGCTTCCTCGTACACATAAGCTGACAAAGCTAGTGGAATCGACGATCTCCCGGCGTTGGCACGGCCTCAGAAACACTCCCAGGCACTCACGAATGCAGCCAACCGTGGAGCTGCATGGCCCCCACCCGCCCTGGCCTGGCAGCCCTCGGCTGACCACCCCGACCTGCTCCGGCGGCTGTGGGGAAGGGAATGTCGGGAGAGGAGATTCCGCTTTTCTGCTCTCCATTCCCACGTTCTCTCGGTGATCATCTGTTTAAAATATCAAATTTGTAGGGAGGGCCTTGATCTCTTTTCTGTTGTTGTTATCAAGTACGCAGAGGGGAAGCACCGCAGATAGAAAAGGGCGGCACATGGAAGAGTTTAAGCATCCCGTGCACGCCAGGGAGGGCCGCAGAGGAGAACATTCCATCCCCCTCCGCTGCTGCTGCTCCCATTCCAGGCCTCCGTGCGGATCAGGGAGAGGAGCCAGCCCCCGGGGGAGCGGCAGGGCCCTGCGCATGAAACCAATTGCTTTTTTTTTTTTTCCCCCTTTCGCCTGTAGTAAAGTTCACATTTTGATTGCTTCTCCAGATTATGTAGATCCAGACATATTTTATGCAGTCATCCGGATCTTTCTCTCTGGGTAAGTATAGTTCAAATTGCTTGTCTGCATGAGGTCTCTGTAGCATCGCCCAAATTTATGAGGGGAGGAACCAGAAGCTTCCTAGAGTAAGAAACAGGTCACTTAGCCAAGTCGTCACCTATTGAATCCGCTCCCGGTTAAAAGAAGCGAGATACCATCACCATGACAGATGACAGGGAGGGCTGAACACGTAAGCTCAGATGGACTGTCCTTAGGCCACTGAGATCTGTTTGTGCTCACTTTTCTTAGAATTCTATCTTGCTGACATTTTGTTTTAAAAAAAGCCCAATATGTCACCCACCTAGTTCTCTAATTTATATCCATCGTTGCCCCTGTTGGCAAAGCAGCTGGAAAGCAGGACAGTGGCATGAAAGCTTCTCTTTAAAGTTCCTGCAAGGCCTGTCTGCTGTGGTTTAAATGCCTGTGTCCCTCCAAAATGCATGTGTTGACCCTAAGGGTCAAGGGTGGGGCCTCTGGGGAGGGATTTCTTTTCACCAACTTTCGAAGGTTGCTCTCTCTTCTGCACATAACAGGGCCTCTGTGAGTTTTGTGACCTTGTGTATGTTTATCACACCCAGACTCTTGTCTGTGTCTCTTTGTTTCTGAGAGGGGGAAAGCGCATCTCTAACATGAGGCCCAAACCATAACATCTCCATGTGGCCAGTTCCCCTTTTCTACCATCGCATGTAATCTCTCGGCCTTTCTCTTCTTCCTGCTCTCTAGCTTTTTCAGGTTTTAAAGGATGAAAAGAAAAAGGCGGAGGCAGTGGAGGGATGGGGCTAAGTGTGAAATGGACATCGCCTTGCTAGCTAGAAGATGCTGGGAGTGCTAGCGATAGAAAGAACTGAAGCTGTGCCTGGAGGCAGCCCGAGACGTGCCAAGTGCTAAGACCCAGCACGGACTCGTTCCTCTGGTGCCGGGACGGAGTGGCCACAGGAACTCAGCACTTGCTCCAGACTGGGCAGATCTGAAGTGTGAGGCACGTTAGGGGGAGTCCAGCCGGGGTGGGGAGTCTCCGCTGTGGGGCAGGCGGCATATGGCGAGCTGCCTGGACGGTAAGCAGTTGGAGCGTATGCTCAGCGAACAGGGTGTCGGAGGCATATAGGCGCTGAGTAACAAACGTGGTTGGCGTATAGGGCTAACACTGGTGTACTGAAGGGTTGTCTCAGAACTTGGGCTCTGTGCACACCTTGGGTGGAATAGACGAGAGGGAAACGGTCATTTAAAAAAAATCTCATGCTACCATATAGCAAGCTCATGCTGAATACAGAAGTAGACCAGGACTGAGGAAGCCAATCCTGCAAAGTCTCTTTGCTTCACTTTACTCTCTAAATTGTTAGTTTCATATAGCATACCATATTGCTTACATATCCCCTGTAGAGTGTAAAGCGCTTGTCCATGAGGACAGGACTCGAAGTGCACACAATCGCAATCTGTTTGGCTTCACTTTTATCCTTGTCCTTTCTGTTGGAAGGAGGCATGGCTTGTTAGTTTTCCATGGTTTCCCACACAAATGACAATGCTGAACTAGGGTGGTTAAGCCTGCATGATAATCTCGATGTGTCTATAGGTACCCTTCTCAGTCCCCCGGTGCACCTGGAGATCGGTATCTGAACACTGGTCCTGGTAAATTAGAGCTAGGCAGGCTCAGCTGCTCTTGCTTAGGTCTGAAGACCGCCAAAATGAGTGATCGATCGTGAGGTCAGGTGTATCAAATGCATACCGCTATGCAAATTTATTGTTAGTTAAATAGAATAAAAAAAATAAAGAAATATTTGGTATTAAGGTAGTCGCAGGTGCCAGCACTCGTGAAATTGTCAATAATTGGATTGGAATGATGGACAAAAAAAATGTTTGAATAATAATATTCTGTTGGTTCAGAAAAGGATTGTATTGTGGGTCAGTAACACTGGACTCTGTCCTTGCTGGCATGATCTAATATGGGGGCTGCTACTGCGACTCGTCAAAGAGCGTTCCACCGAGTGAAGGACCTAGGGTCATTTATTGTAGACTTTACGATGGATCTGGTTAAATAACAGGACATTCATCTGGTCCCTTAGCTCCCCTGTTGTAGCACATTGGAGCTTGAATACATCTCTCTGATACTCTTCTCCTTACGTGGGCTCCACTGGAGAAACCTCCGGTTTTATACATTATGTTTGTTTATAGTTATAACAGATTCGTTATAACTAGGATAAGATTGAGGCATTCTATTGCAACCTCTTCTTTCCATCTATAGGGAGGTGGAAATATTTGGTTGGACAATTATGCAATTATAGCCTTCAGAATATCTGGCAAAGATAACCTAATTATCGTGATCGTGAATGGTGCAGCAAATGGTATTGGATCATGCTCTGAATATATCTCATGGCCACGACTTAGAGCCAAGGAGGTAATATAAGGATGTTACCAAAGAAAGATAGGAAGATTCTTTTCCTTGGAACCTTTTAAGAGTTAGACCTTCACCACTATCCCATAGTACTCAGTGTCCTTTCAACATGACACTCTAATTTGAGTAGCCAATATTTTACATAATGGCCTTTATGTCGTGGATTTATATACTCCAGATTGGGTAACTTTTTAGATGGGCATGAGCTCCCAGTACAGTGTGATCTGTTGTTATTAAAAATATGATGTTTAGGCAAAGAATGAGTATAGGCAGTACGCCAGGATAGACTCAACAAATATTATGCATTCAACCTTACAGTAGATTCGATGGTAGAGATCCGCCCCTTTCTCGGATGGTACTCAGACCATCAATGAGAGGTGTACTGGATCCGGCTGAGTCGCCATGATGGGACAGGACTACATCGGAAGTCGGCCTGATCGCTGTAGCAGTGTACATCGAGATGCTAGAGATATCGGGTGTAAGGTTGCGTTGCGGCATAATTTCCATTGAGTGTATTTAAAAATGTGAATTGGCTGTTTTCTTTATTCACTAACTGTCGCTCAAGTTTGTTATTATATAGATTTTATTTTCTCTGTATTGTTTGCAACCATTAGTGTTTTTGCCGTCTTCTTGCACAGGTAGTTGTGCGATTTCACGCCATAGTGGTAGAATGTAGACAATAACTTATTCCTCCATTAGTTCACATTATGATAAAACCTTACAACGAGAGCTGGGGCCACCATCTAGCGGTATAACTAAAAATAGTCGCGTCATCTCTGCTCTTCTGATTGCGTTTAGTTGTTGACGGCTGTAATGTGGTTAAGCGCGAGCGATGGAGAAATCACATAAGGGTGCCTTCAACTCGTCACTCTTCAGCACGTGAAAGGTGATGGAGCCAGTGGTGCTATAGCCATTGTACAGGACAGTCATGTATGCGTAGAAATACGATGACAGTCAATAGGTTCAGCTTTTGCTTGCGCGAAAACTCATAGAACTTCTATGAATTGCGCTAAAAAAAAATAGGAGCAAATCACAGAGAACCATCTCTCAAGAAAGACGCAAATAATACTTCTCAGACTGGCCGTATTCAAGCGAACATACCGGGTTCTTGAAAGTGAATGTAAACCATGTTGGACCTGGGGGTTGCGGAACAGCTGGACCGATGTGTCAGTGTATGTCCCTCCTCTCGTGCGCGTCGACAACACTCTGTGGACAACACTGGGGGGCAAGCCACTGTAAGGGGCAGATCGGACTCCGGTAGAGGCGTAAGGAGAACGGCCTAGTGGGGGAGTGAGAGATATGCGCCGTGTAGGCGATGAGGTAGTTAACGATCCACCTGGTGTAATTTCGGCTCGCAAATTTGACGGACATGTAGAAGAGAGTTGATATCTAGAACATGAAATGTCATTATGTGAGGATGGTTCCAACATAATTAAGCAATGGCCTCAGAAATGAGAATGAGGCACGTATGATCGGAGCTCATGAAGTAAGGCATGTATGGATAGGCAGAGCGTCAAGCAGTGAGGCATGGTGGTGAGTAGGAGGACAGCTGCAGCTAGCAGACGTAAATCTCTCTGCAGTGGCTCCGGGTGTCCATACATCCGCTACAGCAGGTCAGACGCCTGTCAGTGGAGGCTACCCTTGTCAATGCGTATCGTAGCATACTAACAAACATCTGGGTATATCTTGCTCGACATTAATCCCTATTATAGCCTCAATCCCTATACTCTCGGAATAGCGATAGTGACCCCAGGTAACAATACACATGATACTCCTGTCTTTGAGAATTTATCCACAATAAGATACTTCTCGTATCATTTTTTAGCCAGCTCGGAAATGGTGTAAGCAGAAGTGATAAGGTATTACTTGGAAACTTTGGATTGCCATCAGATTGTTCGATATACTTGTTTGCGCATAAAGCTATTAAGTCTTTCCACAATATCTGCTAACTATTAAGGGCATGATTAGCGAGGATCAGTCACGCAAAAGAACGGCAGTTGTGGCGTAAATGATGCGCGAGCTCTGTTGGTGTTCCCAGCCTGGCAGGTATTGGTTTATTTTCATCGTGAGGTCCCTTGTGAGAGGCTGGTTGGCCTGTGTCGCAGACGGCTAGACTAAACAAGTCGTATGCACATTGGATCAACCCCAAAAGCTTGTGAGGCTACGGCGTCGATGTTAGGAAGAGAAATCCACTTCCTACACATGCAGCGCTAAGCAAGAATCCTGCAGTTGTAGGACTATGGTCCCCATTACGCTCACAGTCACACACAGCAAGGCGGCAGCGCGTTAGGCTTGCGGCAGGAATCTCTCCTTTGTGCCGGCTTGTCAGAGCCAGGCTGCCCGACTGTTGAGAGCCTGGCTGCCGCTCGTCCAGCGACAGCAAAGACCGGCCAGCCCACGCAGCCCGTCGTGGCATTTGCACCTGCAGGGCCGTATTTGTGCGGGTCGAGAACTGCATGCAAGGCAGTGCCCTGTGCCTGCTGTCTGTGCGTGTGGTGCGCCTGTCCCTTCTCTTGAGCAAGACGTTTAGAATGACAGGAAGAAAGCGAACATGGGCGTAAATCTGTCATGTGGTCTCATGGCAGAGCAGGCTGCTTGCTCCTGGTCCTAA